TCAATGGATAGAGCGTCGGCTTGGGGACTGAAGGGTCCCGGGTTCGATTCCGGTCAAGGGCATGTACCTTGGTTGCGGGCATATCCCCAGTAGGGGGTGTGCAAGAGGCAGCTGATCGATGACTCTTTCTCATCGATGTTTCTAACTCTGTATCTCTCTCCCTTCCTCTCTGTAAAAAATCAATAAAATATATTTAAAAAAAATAAAAAAAAATAAAATGCAGGACAATCGTTTTCTGAGACTGATTTCTGAGACTCCCAGAGACTGATTCAGTAGGTCTAGTGGAAGCCTGAGAATGTGCATCTTAATGAGCAGCGCATTGATTCTGGTGCTGATACTGAGAACCATGATCCTGAATTTGCCAGAGCAGTGGTCAGCAAACTCATTAGTCAACAGAGCCAAATATCAGCAGTACAACGATTGAAATTTCTTTTGAGAGCCAACATTTTAAAACTTAAACTATATAGGTAGGTACATTGTTACTAACTTAATTAGGGTACTCCTAAGCTGGCCTTTGCTAAAAACGTCCTCAGTCTGATGGAGGTATGTTCACTGAGGTCAACCCCTTCCACTCTCCCATCCACACTCGCCATGTATACTTGTTTCATCCATTTCCTTCTGTTCATCCTCTCTATATGTCCACACCATCTCAACATACCTTTCTCAGTCCTTCACACTACATATTCTTTCACCCACAATGTTCCCTAAAATTAACTTAGTAAACTTTAAAGTTTTAGTTAAACTATAGGTACGTTGAATAAAACTTGATATCATACTTAATAACAATATTATTTACTGATAAAATTAAATTCCTTACAATTTACCTTACAATATCCATAAAATTAAATCATGACAATGACTGACAAACACTAATGTGTTTGCATCTCCTTGGAAAGTTTGGTTAAGTCAGGTTTGTATGTTGTTGTTTTTAATTTTAGGCACGATTCCAGGTTCTCATCAATAAGGCGACTTCTCAATTTACTCTTGATAAGGTTCATGCTTGAAAATGATTGTTCGCATAAATATATAGACCCAAATAAGGAAAGAACAGCAGATGCTAGTTTTTCAGTTGATTATATGAGTCAGGAATACTATTCCAGGTGTTAAAAGTCTTCCTTCTCCAGGGCTTTCAAAGCAGACCACTTGTGCTGTGAACTAAGTTCACATTTGTTTTTCTCCAATATTTCTATATCAGCACAAAGACGTTCAAATTTTGAGCTCCACTTTTGTTTGTTTTTGTTTTTGTTTTTAAATAGTGAAGGTATAGGCACTCTTTTTTTTTAAATATATATTTTATTGATTTTTTACAGAGAGGAAGGGAGAGAGATAGAGAGCTAGAAACGTCGATGAGAGAGAAACATCGATCAGCTGCCTCTTGCACACCCCCTACTGGGGATGTGCCCGCAACCAGGGTACATGCCCTTGATCGAATTGAACCTGGGACCTTTCAGTCCGCAGACCAACGCTCTACCACTGAGCCAAACCGATTTCGGCAGTTCTTTGTTTTTTAAATCCAGCAATTGCATTTCAAAGTTGCCAATGTCAATATTAAAGGTAGAAAATTTTAATTCTGTTACAGTAACATCAAGAGGTTTTTTAACAAAGGCTAACGTCGCCTTGCTGTTTCTGAATTCCTGAAACCTGTTGAGGAAAGCTTCCCTCATAATTAAAGGTGTTGTTTTGAAATAGCAAATGTCAATATCAGAATTATTTTCTTGGCGATGTTTCAACAGGCTTAGAAAGTGAATCAAAGTTTCTCTTTCAAAATCTTGAGCAAAAAGATAATTTGTTTTCAAATGAAATAACTTCTAATAACATTGAAAAAAATTGTCTTTCCTTTCCCCTGTAGTTTACGATTAAGCTGATTTAGATGAGACATAATGTCTACCATGAAATAAAATTTTTGGATCCACTGATCGTTCGTTAGTTCTGAATAGTGAACACCCTTTTCAAGGAGAAATGCTTTCATTTCTGTTAATAAGGAAGCAAAACGTTTCAAAATGTTTCCTCTTTATTAATATAACCAATGTACCTTGTTATGCAGCAGCAGATCTGCGTACTCTCCATTTCAACTAAAAATTCTTTAAATTGGCGATGATTAAGAGCTTTAGCTATAATGGAGTTGATAATGTTAATCACCGATTCCATAACTTTGCAAATATCTTCTGGAAATGTCTGCCAACAAAGCGCTTCTTGATAAGTGATGCAATGGCAAGCAAATCGCGATTAATTTTTTCTTTCAAAATAGCAACAAACCCGTTTCTTACGCCCATACTTTTTCACCCAGTCTGCTGAAATTGAGACAATGTTATTGAGTGGAATATGATGTTTTTCAATGCACTCAATTACAGCTTTTGCTATATCCTCTCCTCGTGTTTGACCTTTGAGTGGCAATAATCCTAAAAGTTCTTCTTTAGGATCTGTAGATGAAATAAATAAAAACAAAAAGTGAAACTTGTGCTGTATCATTTATGTCACAAGACTCGTCAACTGCTATTGATAAAGCTGAAACCAATTTAAGATCTTCAACTTGCTGGTCAGTTATATTCGAAGACATTTTGACTGTTCTATCTTTCACTGTTTTAGCAGACAATGGTAACTCTTTAATTTTTTTTTTTTTTTTTTTTTTTTTTTTTAGAATATCTGCTTTGTTCTTAAAATCCCGAAATAGCTCTTTGGATGCATTTATAAAACAACTTTTTCTGTATTCACTGTCTATGGTTTTCCTCTCTTAGCAATTTCTTGACTAACCACAAAACTTGCAATATTGTTGGAAGATTGCATCCGGTAATTACAGAACTTGATTTTTCTTGACTCTTCTGAAGTTCCTCAACTGCTTTCTTCCTTGCATCACTGACAAGATATTTAGTAATAAATAACACGTGTTTAGTTGTAAAGTGTCTCTCCAAATTTGATTTCTTGTTATGCGCCATTTTTTTTTCTGACAAATATGACAGGTCGGAACGCCATTTAAGTTTTGAATAAATGAGAAAGTCTCGGTCCATTTAACTTTAAATTCACGGTTTTTGTCTTTCTTTGCTTCTTCTTTGTAGCCATGTCAAACAGGACATCTAAAAAAAGTTTCATTTTATAATAATAAAGCCACCAACAAAAAATAATTACAATTCTTAAATTGATGACAAAAATACCTGTAGGATTTGCAGCTGGTTGGAAACATACAGGTAACTTTATGCTTCTAGTAGGTACTTTTGTCACCCGTGCGATTTGCGGAGCGACTAGCACTAACCACTGCACATGAGACTGCTGATGGACTCTCTCAACTCGTGCATGAGTCCTGCGCCTCCTCCGCGCTGCGTATCCCACAGCCTGCCCCATCTCTCCTGTCACCTGACCTACCGACACCCCCACGTCTAACGCCACTTCAAAATAGACTCGCCCAGGCGGAAAACTACCTTCTGCACATTGGCCACGAAGTTTCAATCGCACTGTATGTGCGCGCCCACGCATGGTATTTTGTGGAAGAGCCACACTCAAGGGGCCAAAGAGCCGATGTGACTCGCGAGCCATGGTTTGCCGACCACTGCACCAGAGGATGTTGGGAATAGTGATGTTCCCCTGAGGGCCTGTTCCCTCCGGTACTCGGGGACCACCTTGGATGAAGTGGCCCCTGGGTGATTTCCCAGAGCTGCGGGTGGCAGGCAGAGAAAGATGCCTCTACTTGCAGGGTTGAAGCAGCGAGCATGCTTTTCCTGTTCTGCAGCGAGCACTGAGCCCGGGATCCACCACAGGCATCCCATTCCAGGAACACGCCTCCCTGGGGACTGGCTCTGGGTATTTAACAGTGTCATCTCACTTCTACCCCAGCTTTGCATGATGAGAATTTCGGCATGGTTGTTATTGGCAGTATTTAATCCCAGTTTATATCTCCTCCTCAACCCCTATTCAAGTAATTTTAGCTTTTTAGAAACAGAGTTATATTTCCAAAAGATTTCCAATGATCTATGAGTACTTAAAAGCCTTCGGAGAATTATGGATGTAACACACTTGTTCATTTCATGAAGATAATAGATAGGGGAAAATGTGATGACACCACTGATGTTCACAGCACTTTGCCTGAGATACTGCTGAGTGCGTTCTGCTTGTAAGACTCTCCAAGCAGGAGAGGACTTTTTTATTATGAGAATTTTAATTTTTTAAATTTGTTTTTCAATTACAGTTGACCTACAATATTATATTAGTTTCAGATGCACAACAAAGTGATTAGACATATAATTTATGTAGTGATCCCCTCACTCCCCAATAATCTAGTACCCATTTGGCACCATACATAGTTATTATAATATCATTGACTATATTCCTTATGCTATACTTTATATCTCCATGACTAATTGTAACTACCAATTTGTACTTCTTAATCCCTTCACCTGTTTACCCAGCCCCCCAACCACCCTTCCACCTGGCAACCATTAGTTTGTTCTCTGTATCTATGAGTCTATTTCTGTTTTGCTTGTTTATTTATTTTGATTATTACATTCCACATATAATTGAAATCATATGGTATTTGTCTTTTTCTGTCTGATTGCTTTCACCTAGCTTAATACCCTTATGTCTTGTCACAAATGGCAAGATTTCATTCTTTTTTATTATTGCATAATATTCCTTGGTATATGTGTGTTATATCTTCTTTATCATTTATCATTTATCGATGGTCACCTAGGTTACTTCTATATCTTTGCTATCATAAATAATGTTTCAACAAACATATATCTTTTTAAATTAGTATTTTATATTTCTTTGGTTAAATAGCCAGACATGGAATTGGTGGGTCACAAAACTAGAGAATATAGATTCCCGATAGACATAACCCAGTTTCCAGAGTTATCAAGATTTATTATATTGTTGGTAGCTTTTTGTTTTTTCTTAAATGTTGCTTGTGGTTTTCTAATTGGTTCTGATTTGAAATGAATAGAACTTGAGATGCTTTGCTCAGGGCCTGAGTGCAGTGGTCATGAGTAGTGACTTGTGAATGTGCTCCTCAGGAATGTGTTCCAGAAGACCTGGCACTGAAGAAGAAGGTTTTTGCTCAGTTAGATGGAATCATCAGTGATGACGTTGTCCTCAGCAGCTCCACCTCATGCCTCTTGCCTTCCCAGCTGTTTGCTGGGTTGGTGCATGTGAAGCAGTGCATTGTGGCTCATCCTGTGAGTATATCAAACCTGGATGTTGATCATATCTCTCTCTGGTTTTGGGGAGTACTACATTTTGTTTAATCCACTAGTATTTTTTAACTGCTTTGTTGACATGTAATTCACATACCACACAATTCAAATTGTACAGTTTAATGGTTTTTAGCATATTTAGAGAGTTGTACAAGACCAGCATTTTCTAAAAGAATTTTATCCAAAATTTTTTTGAATTGCATATATGTACCTAATGCATAGTGGGACAGAATAAGCAATCCTTACAGACTTTCACCCTCAAGTAACTCACTGTCCAAACAAGGAGAAAGAATACTAAACTAACAATTCTCCTACTGAAGAAAAAGTCTAATTAAAATAATGTGTACACTATCACTTGTACTGTGTGGGATGAGTTTTACTAAAATGCAGATTTTGAGTCTTACTTGAGATTTCAGTTCGATACAAACCCCTCCTTCTTAGTGGTAATTACTGGACAAACTTATTCACTAGGAGTACATTAGGAGGCATAGTAGGCAATGGGTTTAAAGTTGGCATGGAAGCACTCAATGCGTCTTCTTGAGATTAATGTGTTAGTGTGAGGATCAGAGATAGGAGTCACAGGTCACTTGGCGGATGTTCGAGTCCCAGCTGTGAGCTCTGCATGACCTTGGAGGACCCTGATGATTTGTTAGGACAGAAAATCTAGCTTAGCTCAGGTCATCAGAAGTGTAACAGTACAGGATGATGATCACATCTTTAGCACCACCAGGCCTCTGGAGGTGAAGGCTCGGGAGAAGCTACATGAAGAAGTTGGGAAGATCAGATAGAATCTGATTGGGCTGATGAGAAGAGTGTATGAGTTTGGGAAAGAGTATAAGAATGACCCTAGGCTAAGAACTACAATCGGGAGTGTAGAATTGTGAGGGGACCAGCTGAACTGGAAGAGCATATATACTTGGGAGTCGGAGGAGAAAGGAGAAGGCTTGGAAAGAGTTGTGTTGTAGAGAAACAGAATTGCTCTGAGGAATTGGACTGGTTTAGGGACAGAACAGTGGGAGATGCAATGAAGACACTGTCTTTGGAGGGAGGGTAGTCTGAAGGTGGCTCAGAGAGGGGGCAGACAGTTCACAGAACCTGGGACAGCATTCCATGTGGGGATGGCCCCAGGAGAAGTTAGGGCCTTTAGAACTGAGAGCAGGGATGTTCTGCCTTCTGAGCAAGAGTAGTTTAGAGTGAGGAGGTCTGAGGTTGGCATAGGGAGGTGAAGGAAAAGAGCAAGTCACAGATGGTGGCTAGATTTTATATGGACTACCACTTAAGGTCTGTGTGGTCTGAGATGTCTAGATATCCTTACACTGAAGTATAGTGGAAAGTGTGAAGAATAATTATGAAATAAAGAGACTTAGGCCCATAGGATAAAAGCAGGCACATTTAATTACCATTCAAATACAGGCGAATTAGCACCATGAAAACCTTAAATGAAGCACCTAAAGGCCATGTTCTATGAAGCATGTCAGTTTTTGCTTCTGTGACATTTACATGCTCATAAAATCCCTTAAAAACCATAAACCACTTACTAGATTTTTACTCAATTGCTTCATTGCTTGAATGTTTAACCATTTATTTTTACTTCTGAGGCAGTTTAGAAAAACAACAACTAAATCAAATTGTTCAGAAAATGCCTCCTAAATCCTTTGATAAGACTTGCTCAGTGTCACTAATCATCAGGGAAACGCAAATCAAAACCAAATCATAATGACATGTCACCTCACACCTGTCAGAATGGTTATCGTCAAAAAGTCAACAAACAACAAATAAAAAACAAAAAAGAATCGAATCCATGAATAAAACATACCAAAAGTCAGCAAACCAGTGCTAGTCAGGATGGGAAGAAAAGTGCAATCTCATGCATTGTTGGTGAGATTGCAAATTGGTGCAACCACTATGAAAAACAGAATGGAGGTTATTAAGAAAATTAAAAATAGATTTAACTTATGATCCAACAATCCCAACTTTGGGGTATTTTTCCAAAGAAATCCAAAATGCTAATTAAAAAAGATACATGCACCCCTATAGTCATTGCAGCATTATTGTTACAGTAGCCAAGATATGGAAGCAACCCAAATGTCCATTAATAAATGAATGGATAAAGAAAATATGGTACATATATACAATGGAATATTACTTAGCCATAAAAAAGTAAAATTTTGCCATTTACAGCAATATGGATGGACATAGAGGTTATTATGCGAAGTAAAATATGTCTGACAAATGAGAAAGACAAATATCATTTGATTCCAAAACAAATGAACAAACAAAACAGAAATAGACTCACAGAAACAGATACTAAAGGGATGGATGCCAGAGGTTGGTGTGAGGGTCTGGGGGAAAAGGGAAGGAGTTCATAATATTGTGATAAGTTACATGGTGACAGATGACTACCAGAATTAGAGGGGTGATCACATTGTAAGGTACGAAAATGTTGAATCACTATATTACACACATGAAATTAATATAACCAGTATACCAAATCATCCATATATATAAAAATCTAAGCGACCAAATGACCAAACGACTGGTCACTATGACACGCACTGACCACCACGCAGAAGCTGCCCCTGGTGGTCAGTGCGCTCCCACAGAGGGACCACTGCTCAGGCAGAAGCCCTGAGCCGGGCTCACAGCTGGCGAGCACAGTGGCAGAGGCGGGAGCCTCTCCCGCTTCCAAGGCAATGCCAAGGATGTCCAACTGCCTGCTTAGGCCTGCTCCCCACTTCCCTAGTGCTCCCGGACTGAGGGTGCAGGCCAGGCTGAGGGGACCCTCCCAGAACACAAATTTTGTGCACCAGGCCTCTAGTACTTAAATAAAAAAGTAATTGGAAAAAAACTTTTACTACATTTATTCCATTTTAATTCACCCATGGGTGAGATCGCACCTTACTCATTTCTTCTGTCCACTAGCCCAGTGCCTCTGACTAGGTGCTCGATCAGTGACTTGAATAATGACATTTCTCTCTTATGTCATACCATCCCAGTTTTGCTGAGTTTTACTTATTTAATGAAATACAAACTGCATAGTCAAAGCCAGTCAAACTTCAGTTTAAAAATTAACCTCTCATTACTTTTATAAATTATTTGAAACCCAAATGACATTAACTAAAGCAAATGCATCTTTGGAATTTTATCCCTTTTTCCTTCTGTTCTGGTATCATTAACCTTTTGATCATACCACTACCTCTGCAAAGGACAAAAAGCATCTTGGACAATTCAATCTTAGCTGGACTGGCAGTACCTGTGGAACACAGAACTGTTGGTAACCTTTTTTTGTTTTGTTAATCCTCACCTGAGGATATTTTTTTCCATTAATTTTTAGAGAAAGCAGAAGGAAGGGAGGGGAGGAGGGGAGAGAGGGAGGGAGCGGGGGAAGGAAAGAGAGAGGGGAGAGAGAGATCAATGTGAGAGAGACACATCAATTGGTTGCCTCCTGAATATTCCCCTGCTGGTGCCAGGAATTGAACCTAAAACCCAGGTACTTGCCGTTGACTGAGATTCAAATGTGAGACCCTTTGGTGCACGGGCTGATGCTCTGACCAAGGACCATTGGTAATCTTGGAGGAGCTGCAGAGTTTTCTGTTACTGCTGGCCAGGCAGGAGCAGCTCATGGTGTCAGCTTACATGCCACTGCCCTAGCTCAAGGCCCATAACTGGCATCCTCTGTCTGGACAGGAACAGGATAAAGGAAGAGGAAGCTTGTTCATGGCCCTGAAAGATTGCTGTCTCCACCCATGCACAGAAGGGCCATGTGCCAGGGAGTTTTGACATCACACATGTTCTCTTGGTGGGCAACTTTCCAGTGGGCCTTTCAGCACTGGTTATGCTCTCTCAGCATCCAGGTAGTTGAAATGGGATTTAGAGGGGAAAAGTAATAGGTGAAGCAAGAGGGATGATACAACCATTCTCCATGTCCTGACATTCTGATATTTTTTTGCTGCTTTTCACAGTCTGCCTGTCCTCCCTGTAGAGGGGTCCAGGCCATTTGGGGCAATGTTGGCCAATGACTGTCTGAAGGTCCAGTTTGGTGCAGTCTCTCTTGGTGCTTAGATTCTATGTCAGCAACCCATCCAAGACACCCCAGGTTTCCACCAGTAGTTTTAGCTGCACTTTATAATTAAGTTTTCCCTTTCTCCTTCCTTCTTTCAGTTGGGGATGTGATGGTCCCGTGGAGCTTATGGGGCCTCATTAGTGCATCCAGTGCTCTCGGTGTTCCTCTATGTGTTACAGATGCTCCATAGATGGGACTGCCTTGGGGTGACACATGCCAGCCCACAAGGGTTTTGGCCCTGAATGGGCAGCTCCCAAAGGCACATCTGTAGCCTAGTTACCAGTCAGGCTGGGTGGCTAGGAGCTGGGCTGCAGGCTGGCCTGCACAGGTGCTTAAGGTGCTTTGGTCCAGCACTCCCAGCCATGCATGCACCTGCTCTGCTGCACCTCTGAGCCCACTTGTCTACGTGCAGGTGGTCATTGGAACATCCACTTCTGGGTTTGCTGTGTGTGGAGAATGCATGTATCTGTGTGTCCTGCTCCAGATTGCCAGCTCCCTAGTCACAGGGGCTGCTTTTTAAAATTTATTTATTTATTTATTTATTTTTATCTCTGTGGAGGACAAACGTAAATTATCAAAATACTGAGAGATGACATCCTCTGAACCAGCTGTGCACAAGGACCCCTTCGCTTTTGTATCATGTTGTAAGCGGAAGAGTTTGCCAGACAGAAGTGCCCGCTGTGTGGGTATGAGTGGGTCTTTGGAGAAGGGACAGCCTGCCTTTCATCTGTGAGGTTAACCTCTTTAATTGGCTGTGGAGAGAATAAATGGGCTCTGTGTCCCGGGTGTGCTATCATCCGATCACATGCCTCCGGCTCTGTTCCAGAGTCAGGCAAGGCTTTTCACAAGGTGAATGGAGAAAGGCTCCCTGTGCTGCCAGCTCCACCTGAGCTTTCAGACAGCCTGGGCCACATCCCTCCTGTGCCTCCGACAGGGCTCAGCCCAGGCACCAGCGTGCTTAACCTTTAAAGCAGCGGTCGCCAGTCGGTGGTCCACGGACCACTGGTGATCCGTGAGGTCTGAAAGGTTGGTGACCACTACTTTAAAGAAATCATTTCCTTTTCTTCTTTGTTTTCCCCATTTCTTGAGGGGCCACTTCTCTCTCTTCCTCATAGACCAACAGCAAAGGCCTGTCCTATGTCAGGAAGGGAGGAACATTTCAGGAAGTAGCTATTCTTTCCTTTGTAGTGGAATCACTTACATTGTTTTTCTCTCCTCTCCCTTCCTCTCCTCACATATGTACCCTGTTAAATTTATGATTTAGCCTGTCATGATTGTCAGGATCCTCCTCTGAGCACGGAATAGGGATTAATTTCCTTATCATAGGAGGAGGCACTCTGCAAGAATAACCCCATCCAAGCCCCCGGGCACCTGAGGTCCTTTCCTAGCAGCCTGTCACCTTGCGCTGGGGGACACCGCAAAGGGCTGGTCCCCATAGCTGGGGCTTTTATAGTGGGTGCTGGGCAATGGCTGCAGGACTCCAAACTGGAGGTGGTGTGATGGGGTCCTGCTTTCAATTTTGTTGTTGTTGTGTTATTTTTGTTAATCCTTACTGGAGGATATTTTCCCCATTGATTTTGAGAGAGAGAGAGAGAGAGAGAGAGAGAGAGAGAGAGAGAGAGATCAATGTGAGAGAGACACATTGATTGGTTGCCTCCTGAAGGTGCCCCTACCCGGGCCAGGAATTGAACCCACAATCCAGGGACTGGGGATCGAACCCACAACCCTTCTATGCATGGGCCTATGCTCTAACCACCTTGCAAACTGGCCAGGGCCCTACTTTTACTTTTTTAAAAATGCTTCCTTGTGAAAAATACACAACATTTACTATCTTAACTATTTTAAGTGTTCAGTTCAGTGACATTAAGTACATTCACACTGTTGTGCAACCATCACTACCATCCATCTCAAGAACTCTTTTCGTCTTGCAAAACTGAAGCTCTGTCTCCATTAAACAACTCCCAATTTCCCTCCCAGAGCCCTGGAAAGCCACCATTCTCCTTTCTGTACCTTCTGTCTCTATGGATTTGACAGCTCCACCTTACAAAGGGTAACTCTGGCAATGACAGTTGAGCCTGCAGGAGGAGGCCAGTGAAGAGAGGAGAGTATCAGAAGCCAAGTTGAAAGTGATGGTTGGAGTTAAGTGTATAGCAGAGGGAATGGATTTTTTTGAGAGATGTGAATGTAATTGAGAAGACTTTTGCCACTGATGGAAATGGGTGAGGAGGTAGGGAGAGGCCGGGAGCAAGGATGCTTCTTGTGGTACTAAGCTGAGTGTTCTTATCAAGTCGGGGAGCTGGAAAGAGTGCAGGTGTTGGGGTGGAGGGCCAGGGGTTTAGTTTGTGGCAGGCTGTGATATGTCTGAGGGAAGGTACCCAGTGCACAATTCAAATGTGGGTCTGGAGTGGGAACTGCGCTCGGGTGCGGTCTCCGCATCTTGATGGCACTAATGCTCTAGGAGTGACAAGCCCTCCTGGAGGGTCTGGTCACAGAGGGCGGTGAGGGTGCCGGAACCACCACTCAGAGAGGGCACGGGCGGGCGCAGAGCCTGTGAGGACAGAGACAGGGAACTAGCAAGTTTTCGTGAAGATGCTTTTAAACTGTTTGTCTCCATCTGTGCTTGCTACATGAAGCTTAGAACAACGAAGAGACCCTGAGCCAAGCATCCCTGCTATACAGTGAGATAAAGTTTATCTGATACAAACACAGTTATAGTTCCTATAATTCTGATTTTTAAAAAGGTCAGAGGTGAAATTTTTGCTTTTTTTTTTTTTAATAAGAATTCAATAATTAAGGCAGGAGACAGTGATTCAAGTGAAGCATTGATTTATAATTTATTTTGAAAACAGATGCCATCATCTCTCACTTTCTAAGAGGGCTGAGCAAGTGTGACCAGGACAGGCTGAGAGTAGGAGCCATTAAAATATAGCTGTATTTGGACTAGCCACCTCTTCTAGGCAGTGTCCTAGGAGAAATACATTTTCTTTTCCTTTTCTTTTGGAAAAGGATTTTAAAATGGATACTTCTTGTGGTTATTTGGTAACATGGGGTCCTACCAATTTTAACCCATGTACAAAGGAAAAACCACCCACAAGCAGTACCTGGGGAAGTTTACTGCAGCACCTGAGGAGTTATGTGGTGCTGTCTGAGGACATCTGATAATTTTCTCTGGGAATCTTCAAGAATGGCTCCTCAAAGTCAACCAAGAAAATCATAGCCAACTGTTTTGGTGCTGGGCTGGACAAGCATTCCCATACTCCTGAGGACGGCCCCCCTGTCTGAGACTTTGAACCCAGGTACAGGCTGTGGAGGGGTTCTGGGGCTGTGCAATTTACAGGGCAGGTTCGACTGGGGAGGTTGGGGTTTGAAGTCAATATGGGAAAGTTAACAAAATGCCAAGTTTTGGGAAATATGCTGTCAGTCATTTCTAATGGACCCAGGACCTATGGTGACTGTCCTGGGAAGAGGTGAGTATTGTCGGTGTGAAGTCTGCACAGCTGGTAGCAGTGAAATCCCCTAGAGGCCAGAGGTTTGGGAATAGCTGTAATGTACAGGATGGTGGTATGAATCTCCAAATTTTAACTCTTATGTTGGACATGATTCTTTAAACAAAACTATGTAATCCGGTGCTGGAGTTCCTTCTTTTCCTCTCTCCTTTGTGAATTAATACTCTGTTTTTTGAGTTTGGTGTCACTGGGGGGTGAATGTACGGGTCCTTTCCAGAGAGGAATCTGGCTATCAGACAGGCGGCCAACAGGGTCTGCAGAATGATGCCCAGACTCTGGAGCTGTCTGTTGACTTCCTCACTCCTGTCTCACAAGGTGAATCCCCCGTATTATGTCCCTCTGGTGGAGCTGGTTCCCCACCCGGAGACAGCCCCTGCCACAGTGGACAGGACCCACGCCCTGATGCAGAAGATTGGACAATCCCCGGTCAGAGTCCTGAGGGAGGTCGATGGATTTGTCCTGAATCGCCTGCAGTATGCGGTCATCAGCGAGGCCTGGAGGCTGGTGCAGGTACGCAGGCTGTAGTGGCCAGTGGGGACAATAGTGGGGACAATGTGAGGGAAGAGGGGATGAGTGAGGGGGGAATTGGGGGTGGTTGCCAGCCAAGAGGGGAAGCAGAGTGGAAACAGCTTCCTGGGGGCAGTGGCTGCAGGAAGTCAGCGTAAAGCCTCCTCGCTGTTTCTGGAGCCTGACTGTCAGCTATTTTCTCAGGTGCAGTGAAAAGGCCATAAGGATAAACTGTCAGCGCAGCACTCATTGTTTCAAAGATGCTGTACATGGAGTCATTTGACATAGGACAGGATGATATAGTGTTTGCTGCTCCTACGTGTCGTTGTCACATAATTGTCTCTGGGTGACATGCTGCATTTCCCATAGACTCAGACTACTCACTCCCAGTGTCATCATCTTTCAGGAGGAAAAAATTACATTTTGAGTACAGTCCACATGTGTCCTCTAAATGAACCCAGTTTATTTCAAAAGCTTGAGAAGAAGCAATTATAATTACACTTGTTAGTAACAGGCTTGTCTTACATAGAAAAAGAACATTATTTATTTTTTCACAATTAACCTCCTCCTCTAATGAAAGGATTTTGCACGTCATCTAAGAAGTGGCCTCCAAAGTGGCCTTCCTGCACACTCCCAGCCACATGTGCATGGGGACTTGGTGCCCAGGACCCAAAGTGCAGGGCGGGTTTGGGCCCAGGAAGGTGACAGCACTGCCACCTGCACGGGGCCCACAGCTCCTGTCTGAGCTTGAGGCAGGCCTGTGGTCCCAGCCTGGGACTCTGCAGCCCCGTGCGGGATGCAGTGGCCTTCTGCCTCCCTGTTTGGTGTTTGGGCACAGCTCTGTAAGTTCCTCGTGGACCTCACTGCCCAGTGCATTTGCCACACAACACCTGCAACTCTGTGTTCTCACTGTTTAAGTCTACTTAGTGGTCTCATATATGCAAGACAGTCGTATGGTTCCTACCTTCAAGTTTGCAGTTTTAATTTCTTAGCAATTGCAGAACATCTTTGAATTTCATTTTGTGGTAAAATATTTGAAAGAAATGCTGAACTAAAAACACCCCTTGGGAGAGCTATTTAAAATATTTCCACTTGTCTAGACTAGGGGAACAATAGATATATACAAGAAAAACTCAACATTACAGTAAAACACGTGGGAAGAGCCACAGAGGATTCTGCTGTCCCCTTCACTGGCTGGAGAGGTGGGAAGGTGGAGTGGTCTATTTGGCTGCTTTGTCAGGTCTTTACTGATTAAGGTATTACATATGTGTCATTATCCTCCCCTTACCTTCCACCTCCCACCCCCACGTATACCCCCCCCCCCTCCCCTGATGTCTGTGTCCATTGGTTAGGCTTATATGCATGCATACAAGTGCTTTGGTTAATCTCTCCCCCTTACTTCCCTCCCCTACCTTCCCTCTGAGGTTTGACGGTCTGATCGATGCTTCTCTATCTCTGGATCTGTTTTTGTTCATCAGTTTATGTTCATTATTTTCCACAAATGAGTGAGATCATGGGATATTTATCTTCCTCTGACTGACTTATTTTGCTTAGTATAATGCTCTCCAGTTCTATGCATGCTGTTCCTTCTTCTTCTTCTTCTTCTTCTTCTTCTTTTTTAATTTTTATAACAGCATAGTATTCCATTGTGTAGATAACCACAGTTTTCTAATCCATTCATCTGCTGATGGGCACTTAGGCTGTTTCCAAATCTTAGCTATTATAAATTGTGCTGCTATGAACATAGGGGTGCATATATCCTTTCTGATTGGTGTTTCTGGTTTGTTGGAATATATCCCTAGAAGTGGGACCACTGGGTCAAATGGGAGTTTCATTTTCAGTTTTTTGAGGAAACTCCATACTGCTCTCCACAGTGGTTGCACCAGTCTGCATTCCCACCAGCAGTGCACAAGGGTTCCTTTTTCTCCACATCCTCTCCAGAACTTCTCATTTGTTTATTTGCCCTTATTGGCTTATTTTACCCACCTTTATTAAGACCATCCTGTTTCCAGGGGATAATGGCAGACAGAGTGGTCTGCTGGTTTGGGGGGATGATATACCTTCTGAGAAGGGAATCCTGCATGTGTCTCTACGGTGGCTGCTATGAAATTCACATGCCTAGAGTCCCCACAGGAACCGAGTGCTGAGACCCAGTAGCATACAGTGTGAATGGGACAAAATGAGAAGCTATAGAAATGAGATTAAGAAAGTGTAAATAGAACTCAAAGAAATGCCTTTGGTGGAAGTCTCAGTGATAATTCACTTTAAAAAATTGAGTCCTAGTGAGGTAGCTCAGTTGGTGGGAATGTCCTCCCATACACCAAAAGGTTGAGGGTTTGATTCCTGATTTGGGGTGCATATGGAAGGCAAACTGATGTTTCTCTCTCTCTCCCTCTCCCTCCCTCCCTCCCTCCCTCTCCAAAATCAAGTAAAAATCCTTAGATGAGGATTAAAATAAATTATATAAAAAAAAAAAAAGTTGAATGCCCGGCCAGTGTGGTTCAGTGGTTGAATGTTGACTTATGAACCAGGAGGTCATGGTTCAATTCCATGTCAGGGGACATGCCCGAGCTTTGGGCTCAATTCCCAGAGGGGTCTCTCTCTCTCTCTCTCTCCCTCTCCCTCTCTCCCTCTCTCCCTCTCTCCCTCTCTCCCTCTCTCCCTCTCCCTCTCCCTCTCCCTCTCCCTCTCCCTCTCCCTCTCCCTCTCCCTCTCCCTCTCCCTCTCCCTCTCCCTCTCCCTCTCCCTCTCCCTCTCCCTCTCCCTCTCCCTCTCCCTCTCTCTCTTCCTCTCTGAAATAAAAAAATACATATTTTTAAAAACACAAGGTTGATCTGCAGACAGTGAGAATGAAGGCAGATGTAGAGACTGCAGATCTCTCTGTCCAGGTTGGGGTGAAGGTGGGACCAAAGAGCTGTGGGGCATCCCTAAACTCTGCTGGGGAGACTTACAGAGACAGTGAAGTGTCTCTCTTGTGGGGTAAGGGCTCAGGGGGAGGGAATGTGGAGGGAGGGTGGGCTTCCGGTGCTGTGCCTGCTTTTACTGTCACTGCTCAGGGGCAGCTGCTTCTTTGGCCTCCCTGATATGGGAGGGCCACTGGGCATGCACCTGCTCCTCAAGTAGCTGCTTCCAAGGGCAAAGAAGCCGTAGGTCTCACCCCACCAGAGCAGGGTACCTCCTTTTGCACATGTGGCCACCTCTGGGTTCTCTACCCCAGAAGATATACCACCCCCCACTCACTCTCCCTGCGAAGAGTGGATCAATATTTCTGCTTATTAGAGAGTTTGGTTCAAGGATTCTTGTCTTTATTGCATGAATTTCTTGAAAGAAAACCATTGCTTCTTGGGGGTCTGTTTCCATTTAGGGTATGAAAGTCAGGAAAGGTAAGAATGCCTCCTTAGAACTGCCCCTTCATCTTTGTTATCTGTACATGTGCATCGAGCCAGCAGGGGCTGGGCTTAAATGACACCCCTTTGACTCACAATCTTTCTTTCTTTCTTTCTTTCTTTCTTTCTTTCTTTCTTTCTTTCTTTCTTTCTTTCTTTCTTTCTTTTTTTTTTTTTTTTAAATAAATCGTTATTGTTCATATTGTTATAAAAGTTCCTCATTCTTTCCCCCCTCTACCAGGTTCTTACCCCACCCCAACCCCCCATTGTCCTCATCCATAGGTGCACAGTTTATGTTCAGTCTCTTCCCACCCCCCCCACTCCCTTTTTCCTCGAAAATCATCAGTTCACTCCCCTTCCATACCTCTGATTCTATTATATTCACCAGTTAATATTGTTCATCAGGTTTTTTAATTCCCTTGGTTTTTAGATTCACTTGTTGATAGTTACGTATTTGTTGTTCATAATTTTTATCTTTATTTTCTTCCTCTACCTAAAGAACCCCCTTCAGCAATTCATATAATTCTGGTTTGGCAGTGATGAACTCCTTTAGCTTTTTTTTTAATTGGTGAAGTTCTTTATCTGGCCTTCGATTCTGAGTGATAGCTTTGCTGGGTAGAGTATTTTTGGCTGTAGGTTCTTGCTATTCATCACCTTGAATATTTCTTGCCATTCCCATCTGGCCTGCATGGTTTCTGTTGAGAAATCAGCTGACAATCGTATGGGTGCTCTTTTATAGGTAACTACCTGCTTTTCTCTTGCTGCTTTTATTATTCTCTCTTTGTCTTTTGCTCTTGGCATTTTAATTATTTTGTGTCTCGGTGTGGTCCTCTTTGGATTCCTTTTGTTTGGGGTTCTGTGTGCTTCCTGGACTTATAAGTCTATTTCTTTCCCCAGGTGGGAGAAGTTTTCTGTCACTATTTTTTTCAATATGCTTTTGGTAACTTGCTCTCTCTCATCTTCTGAGACCCCCCATAATTCTGATGTTGGTTCACTTGAAGTTGTCCCAGAGGTTTCTTACACTATCTTCAACTTTCTGGATTCTCTTGTCTTCTTGCTTCTGTGGAGGAGTGTCCTCTGGCTCTTTGTGTTCCAAATCTTTGACTTGATTCTTGCGATATCCCATTCTGTTTTTAGGACTCTGTATAATATTTTTTATTTCAGACAATGTATTCTTTATTTCTCTTTTTTTTAAAATATATTTTATTGATTTTTTACAGAGAGGAAGGGAGAGAGATAGAAAGCCAGAAACGTCGATGAGAGAGAAACATCGACCAGCCAACTCCTGCACACCCCCCACCGGGGATGTGCCCACAGCCAACGTACATGCCCCTGACCGGAATCGAACCTGGGACCTTTCAGTCCGCAGACTGACGCTCTACCACTAAGCCAAACTGGCTTTGGCTGTATTCTTTATTTCTAGTTGATCCCTTTTCATATCCTCATAGGTCTCGTTTATTTTATTGGCCTTTTCTAGGAAATTCTTGAAAAACCTTATAAGCGTGGTTTTGAACTCTATATCCACGTGCTTTTTGTCCTCCATTTCTTTCGTTTGTGATCTGTTTCCTTGTCTTGGCATTTTTGCTGCTTCTCTGAGTTGGTAGGGTGGCTTTGTGT